GGCACAGGTGGGTATTAAAACATCCAACTAACATATGAGTATCTTCCAGAGTCAGTAAATGAATACCACTACAAAGCTTCTAAGAGGCAAAGGCTCAGTTCATTCATAAATGACACTTTTGGAAATATTCTGTCCTCTTTCTCCAAATGAATCAAATTTCATGGGGCGACTATAACCTCCATTTTATATAAGATTACACAGGAATGGTTTAAAGCTCAGAACACAAAGAAACTTAAATGAAGTAAATATCAGACATCAACAATATCTTCCAAGGAAAGTAGTAATCCACAGCTATTTCAATCCTGGCAGAGTAATAAGGAATCTGTCAATGGCAGGGATAAAAAGATACAAGCTTATCTGTTAACAAACTTTTAACCTTCATATGTGAGCTAAAATGATGGATTAGAATCACCAAGAGCCCCTAACACACAGCCAAGTCTGCATCCATCTGCCAAGTCTTTCCTGGCAATACATATGGATAGTGCATAAGGATATGGGCAGGAGAACTGAGAGATCATGCCTCTCTGGCACTGGTGAACACCTCTGGCTGCAGAGTAGGAGGCTGAAATCTGGAGGAAGTCAGGAGAACTGAGAGAAATTCCTCTCCAAAAAGAGATCTCCTGAGCAGGAGAAAGCCACAGACTAGAAAGTAAAGAACTCAACAGTGTCCAAAAACACAAGTAGTCAAGCTATAAAACAAAGAGCTCTCCCACTCTTCAGAAAGATGACAGCTTGGCTCTTAAGCATAGGAGATCACCAATGTCCTATTGGGGCTCAGATTTAAAGCTCCATTAAAATCAAAGTCCCAATCCCAATCTTAAGGCAGTAGAATGCCAGTGGTGACCAGTATCTAATATTACTACAAAGCTCTGCCCTAGCTCAGAACTCCACATTAACAGGGTGACAAAGAAAATACAGGCCCTTTTTGGAAAGTAGATATTCCTCAGACTTTATTATTCTTTAGTATACAATATCCAACACATCATAAAACATAATAAATCACAATAAGAACATAATCCATAAGAAAACAATCAACAGAGGTAGACTCGTACCTGACCTTGATATTGCAATTAAAAAATAGATGAAACTATGATAAGTGTACTAAAGAATCTAGTGAAAAGATGAGCAGATAAAAAGAACAAGTAAAGGATTACAAGATAATTAAATAGGAACTAAAAAGCATATAGCAAAACTATAAATGAAAAATTTTAACTTTGAAAATAAAAGAACACATTCAAAGAGCTTACCAGAAACCTAGATACAGAGGTTCTATGATTTTAAAAAAAAATGGGGGAAAAAAATCCAAAAGCCAACAAGAAAGAGTGTGGCAGAAGTGTTACTCAAAGAAGTAATGTCTATAAATTTTCCAAATGTTCTAAAACACATTAACTCACAGATCCAAGAAAATCCATCAGCCCCAAGGAATAAAAACACAAAGAAAACCATATCTAGACATAGCACAGTCAACCTGCTAAAAACTAAAGACAAAGAAAAATTTCAAAGCAATCTGAAGAAAAAAAAGACATACTACTTTATAGTATGCAAGAAGAGCAACATTAAAGAAGCCTACCTTTTGTCAAAAATAATCAAAGTCAGAATACAGTCGTCTGGTATGGTTAAATTTTGAGGGATAGAAAAACAATTGTTGCATAGGACTCTTTATCCAGCAAAATGTATATACAAAGAATTTCCACAACTAAGCACAAAAATGAAAACAAACAATACAATTATGAAACATACAAAAGACAAGATACATTTCACCAAACAAGAGAGAAGAATGGTAAAATAAGCAGATAAAAAGGTAGTCAGTATCATCAGAGCCATTAGGAAAATGCAAATAAAATCCATGATGAAATATCATTACTCTGTTAGAACAATTAAAATAAAAATTAAGACAATACCCAATTCTGGTAAGGATAAAAAGAAAATAAATCACTCCTAACACTGCTGCTTAGAAATAAAAAATGGTGTGGCTATTGTGGAAAATGGCTCATCAGGTTCTTATAAAATTAAGAATACACTTGCCATTCAACCAGGTATTTAACCTAGAGAATTGAAAACATATCCATCTAAAAACCTGTACACAATGTTCATAGCAGCTCTATTTATAATACCAAAATACTGGAAACAATGCAAATATTGTTTGGGTGGATAAACTGCTATATCCACACAATGGTATACATGTCTCAGCAATAAAAAGGAATGAACTACTGATACATACACCAACCTGGAAAGAATTCTACCAGCATTTGCTTAACATAAGTAACCTTAAAAGGTTACATATTGTATGAAAAATTACATGACTAACAAATAGGGAACAGGGATAGAGAACAAGATGGAGAAGAATACAAAGAAATGGCAGGAAGGAGATCTTTGTGGTAATGAAACAGCACTTGTGGCAATCATTCAAATATACACATGATAAAATCGCACAGAGCTTTATACAAACATACATACATGGATGCAGCTTAAAATATAGGAAATACTAAATAAGATCCTTCAGATGTTAACAATAATGTACTGATAGATATCAACTTCCTAGTTTTTACTGCACTATAAGCCATAAAAGATGCCACCATTGGGGAAGCTGACAAAAGGTACCTGGAATTCTAGGGGTTTTTTATGTTTGTTTTTTGAATATCCTATGAGACAATAACTATTCTAAACTACAATGTTTACTATTTTTTTAATTTTTACTTTTTAAAGGAAAAATAAAGACATTTTATAATAAGCCAAAGCTGAAAAGATCCATATGACAAAAGATGCTGGAGTTCTTCAAACTGAATGGAAGCAGTACCTGAGAGAAGCAAGAAGTAAGGAAGAACATCAGACTCAAAGTGCAGCATGTTTCTACTGAGATATTCATTACTTCAATTAATATTTGTGAGAGATACATATTATGTGTATGTATGTGTGTTTGTGTTTATATATATATATATATAGTAGAATATATAATAACTAGTATTGTAAGCACCATGGAATCAAAGATAAATAACACTAAATCATACAATCTAACATAAATCTATGTAATTATTACCAAAAAATAATAATAAAGACATTGTCATCAAAATACTTATACTGGTGGTTGTACAAGAATGAAAATTGTCATTGTGAATCTGAAAATAAATGTTAAGTCAAGCATTATGGACAGTTTTCAATGCAAAGGGTGACCACAGCTTAGTCACAAAGTATAAAGAAAGATAACAAATAAATAAGATGCCAAAGATTCAAGATACCCAAGCCTGTGGAGGAAAAAATCCATAGGAAATGACAAAAGCAAATAGGAGTAGGGAGTAAAAAGGCAAGACACAAAGCCTCTGTTAAGTAAGAATTTCAGATGTCACACTACAAGGAAGTGGGAGGATTTGAAGAAACAATTCACTTAGTAAAGTAAAAGGAGTACTATGAAGTTTTAGGGAGATAACTCGCAGTATGAATGATGCACTGGAGAAAAGTGACACAGAAAGCATGACAAAACAATAATTAAATAGTCCAGGAAAAAGATGGTCAGAAAGTTAAACCAAGGCAGCATCAAGGAACATAGAAATAAAAGGGCATAAAACTAGTTAAGGGGAAAAGTTAAGGGAAAAGAGGAAGATCTGAGAACTAAAAAACTAGTTAAGGTAAAAGAGGAAGATATGAGAACTATTCCCAAAATTCCACCTGGGTGCAGAAAAGATTTTACCTTCATTTATCTCAAAAGGAAATAAAGCAGTAGGAAGCAGGTTTTGATGGAGAGATAACAAGTACATTTTTTGGAGATGATGAACTTGACATGCAGAAATAACCCCCAGATATCTAGCAAATGCAGAGTTAGAGCCTTAAGCAGAAATCACAAATCATCGGCCCAGGCTGTAATCAAAGGTCTAGAAGAGACTAGCAATAGACGGATTGCCAAAGGCAGAGAATACAAAATGAAAGGAAAATATCATTAGGGATCCAATTCTAGGAGAACAGGGCTCTTTTAAAATTTATACTTTAAAAAATACAAATTGTTACACTTTTGTTTTCAATATATGTTAAGACTATACATTATTTAAATAATTACAACTAATAATTCTAATAACATATCCTAAAGAAATAAAGATTTATATATAAAATATCTTCCCTTCAGTGCTGTTATAATAAAACACAGAATTAAATATGACAAACAAAAAAAATCACTTAAAGCAAATTACGCTAGCTTTATAAAGTAAGTTGTTACGTAACCACTTATGTAGTATTTTAAACGACTTTTTATTTATGTGAAAAAATTCTTATGATATTAAATGGAAAAGCATACAAAGCAGTGTTTACAGTACTTACTTATGCAAGAATATTTAACAAATACCTACTATGTATTAGTACCTAAGTACTGGGGATAAAATACAGTCAAAACCAAATAGTAGTTTTTATGGAGGATAGGATTCTATTGAAAAGTGACTAAAAAATAGTAAACACATAAATCCATAAGAAAATCTTATATGAAGAAAATGCTAAGGCACACATAACAGGATGTAATAGGAGAACATTATCAATTATATAAAAGTACCTTAAAATTGGTTTCAAAGAAATAAAATATATGATTAGTAGTAAAAAATAAATAAAAACTAAAAACAAAGCAAACTTCAGGTGGCTTAGTAAATAGTCTAGAAAATAAAGGAAAAGTTGTGAAACAAAAAGTATTTGGGCCCTTTATAACGCGCACTGACCATCGTGGGGGTCGGAGAAGGCCGAGGGCGCGGGAGAGGAGGGCTGCCGGGCCGCCATGGCAGGAAGCCCCGGCTGACGCGGGAACCAGACAAGAGGACGCAGCTGGGCGGCCCGGCGAGGCGCGACCCGCAATAGGCCCCGCCGCCCGGCTTGAGCGCGCGCGGCGCGATGCAGCAACTTCACTGGACCGCGGGCCGCTGGGGGCCCGGCTCCGCGCCCGCCCCTCCCTAAGAGGCTGCCTGGCCCAGAGCCGAGAAGCAACGGGCAGCCCGGACCAGGGAGTCCAGCCGGCCGCAGCCCGCACTCACGGGTCCACGGTCCCACCGCCGGCGCAGGAGCTGCGCTCGGAGCTCCATCGTCCCGCCGCGCCGCGGCCGCCACGCGCCTCCTCCCGCAACACACCGCACGCAGCGGCGCCGCCTCCGGCCCGGCCACGGCCGCGGCCACGCCCCCTCCTTTCGGAGGGCCCGGCTGGAGCCGGAGGGGGGCTCAGCGCCGGCCCCACCAACCAGAGACCACTCATAGGGCCGCTTCATGAGGATTGGCGAGCATCTGGGCCAATGGGGAGCCAGTAGGAGTGCGGATCGTCAGCGCCGCGGGAGGGGGATTTCGGAGGAGGTGGCTCTCATCCTTAGTCCTCAGCTTGGGAATGAGTCTTTGGCCATATCTTCTTAAGCGTAGAAAGGTAAGGATAGTTTGGGCCGAGTTCACCGCAAGTGCCCTTATGTTTCCTCTGGTTGCCAGGTACCCAGTAAAGTCCCTTGAGTTTCCACAATTCCCTAATCTTAGCTAAATTTTGAGGGCTCCTGGAAACAGGTCTATCTGTAGGTTGTCAGACATCCTGCCGGGTTGAGGTTTCAATTAACCCTGAAAGGATTATAGCCCTCTTGCCAGTTGGCTTTATACCCTGCTCAAATCTGTTAGCCTTCTGCCTTCAAAATCTTCCCCTCTGTCTGGGGTAGGGTGGATGGGGAGGCTGGAGAGAGGTCTCATCATTCAGTGGGTTGACACTCATTGCTGGGTTTTTAGTTTAGTTTAGTTTTGGTTTGGTTTGGTTTAGCACTGGGCCTAACCAAACCCAGGAGCCCTTCACCACTGAGCTACACCACAGCCCTTTTGATTTTTTTGAGACAGGGTTTCACTGAACTTGTGATCCTCGAACTTGTGATCCTCCTTCCTCAGACTCTGAGATTACAGGAATGTGCCACCATGCCCAGCACATACTCATTTATAATGTCACTTCACCCACCTCTAGTGGTGCCAGGTATCTCTGAGATGTCTGTATCTGTCTCAGCCTCTCCAGAGGTTGAGGGAGGAGAAGAAAGCTGGACCCTAACTTTAATTATTGACCTTTCCACCAACCACCTGCTCTCAGCCCAACTTTATGCACCTTGCCTTCAGTGGGACTGAAGAAGCCTCTCCATTCTTGAACCTTTTCTGGATTCTGCATCAGGAATCACCTTGATCCTCATGTCCTTCTTGTTTTTCATCTTTGTGTGAATAGATAGCAATGTATGAATACAGGTTGAGCATCCTTACTGTGAAATCTAAAATCTGAAATGCTCCAAACTTTTTTGAGCCCTCATAGAATGCCACAAGTGGAAAATTCTGCATCTGACCTTATAAGACACTTGCTGTCAAAAAACAGATGCACTAAAATATTACATAAAATGACCTTTGGAATATTTGTATAAGGTGTGTATGAAATGTAAATGAATTTCATGTTTAGACTAGGGTCCCATCCACAAGATATCTCATTATATATATGCAAATATTCCAAAGTCCAATATGTGAGACATTTCTGGTCCTGCATATTTTAGATAAGGATGCTCAACCTGTCTCAAAATCCACCCTAAAAAAGGTGGATGTTTGGAGAAAATTTTCCCCTGCCTTTTTCTCCTTCCACCCCATTCCCATCCTCCTTCAAAGTACTATTTTGATGGGGGTTTGCTTCTCATTGGTCTGCCCTTCTCCCTTTATCTACCATTTTAGGGAATGAAAGGCCTTAGATTTTGCCATTCTGCTACATCATGTCATCTCATTTAAAAATAATTTTTTTAGATGTTGATGGACCTTTATTTTATTCATTTATTTATATGCAGTGCTGAGAATCAAACCCAGTGCCTCACACATGCCAGGAAAGTGCTCCACCACTGAGCCACTCTCTTCCAAATGTGTGTTGAAATATTTTGTCATCTCCCTCTCCCATTTCCTCTCCTTGTGAATTTGCACTTTAAAAAAAAATTCTTTACTGTCATTCTAGTAAAGTCTTATGAAGGAATAGAGAAAAGGTCACTGGGAGATTTTATTCTTGATCCTTCATTATCTTTCTCTTCTAACACTTTGTAAATTGTGGAATAGAACATAATGAAACATACACAAAGCTTATGTGTTCTGTTTAACACCTGAAGAGCCAATTCTCTGACAACTGTCATGCAGGTCCAGGTATAGAACATGCCAGTCGTGGTTCCTTCTCCTGGTAGTGCCCAGTAAACTTCCATGCAAGAAACTATGTGAAGGGCATATAGGTCTCTGTCCTATTTGTCCTATTTCATGTAAGTTTATAATTATTTCAGAATTAAAAATATGTAATATATTAATCTGTACATCAAATTGTCCTACTTCCTCATTCTCCCATGGTGCTGGAACCATATGCATGTACCAGCTTGTCTGGCTGATCTCCATTTTAATGATGAGAAAGCAGAGGGTCCATAGAGCTTGCACAAGGCCAGGCAGCCTATAGCTGGGAGATAGCCTTCATGCCCTGCTCTGCACCATGTCATTATTATTATTCCAGTTGTGACACCTGACATTTCCTCAGCAACACCCTGCCTCTCAACTCATCTAAAACTCTCTCCTTTCCTTTCCTTTTCTCATATCCAGTCTCATTTTCCTCCATATTGATTATTACCAATTGACATACTATGCCCTTATTTTTTGTTCTTTTGATGGGCTCTGCCGTCCCCAATGTAAACTCAAGGGTTTTTCCTGCTTTATTTTTCTCTGACTCCTAGTGCCCAGATAAAAATGACTGATACATAGTATTCACTCAATAACTATTAGGTTAATAAAATAATAATAGAAATGAGATTAATTTTAAAAACAATAGAATAACTTTAATCCTTAAGAAAAAATAGCTGAATGGAAGTGCCCTAGATAGGCTATGTCCTCACTTAATTTGACACCAGAGGCTGTGCGAAATTTTGTCTTTCTCATTAAGGATCTTTTCCAAAATCTCTGTGTTTCAGAAAACAATTTTAAAAATGCTTGCAGGTCACATAATATTAACATCTAACATTTCCAATTAGATTTATACCCTCAAAAATTCAGACATTAAACTAGTAAATGCTATCATGAAAATTACACTACTTTTGAAAATTCAGCATTCTGAATCAGGGTGTTAGAATCCCCTCCATCCTCTGCAGGCAGCTACTCCTGTGGTTTGTAGCTAGAGGTACTTTTATTACAGTGCTTGGTTTTTTACCTGCAGTTATCTCAATTGACAAGGACAGTAGTTCCCAAAGTGTGATATATGGAAGAAAATATTTTACTTTAAAAAGAAATATTTATTTTTGTGTAGTCTGAAAAATGTAACTGGTACTATCACAAGCTGGCCCAAAGAAACCTGAGGATGTCACATTGTCAGAATCTGTGGGATAATGTGACACAGAAAGTAATTTAGAAGTAATCAATTTTCAAGTTCTATTCAACTTTGAAGTCATTCTTTCACACCATAATCCTAACACCTCCCACCTCAGTGTGGCACAGTGAGAGAAGGAATTTCCTGGTTGCAGACAGCTTCCATGGAATGGTGCAGGTTAACTCAGAAGTGTGGGCCTCTGGAAGCTCGAGCACCTGAGACCAGTCTAGCAGAGTGAGTAAGAGGGAGGACCCCCTAATCTGTCCCTTTGGACAAGGTACTCAACATCATTTGTCTCCATTTCCTCACCTCCAATGGAAATGATAGGGTTGCAGTAAGTAGTAAATAAGTACTGCTTACTGCAAATGTCCAATAAGCATTACCTCTTCCTATCTCACTGGAATACGAGCTTCCTGAAGACCAAGATTTTGTCTGTTCTGTGTACCATGGTACTCTAGTACCTAGATCAGATAGGGCATATGGGGAATTCACTAAAATATTCATGGAGTGAATGAATAAAAAATTCTAGCATCATATGGATCTGCACAGTAGCAAGAAGGAAGAGCAGTAACTATATAGAAATAGTGATAAGGAATTCATAGTTACTGTCTAAGTTTATGGAATTACAAAGGAAAAATAACTATGACTGGTCAATCAACCCTGAAATAAAGGACTTAACAGCCCATTGCCTACAGTCATGGAATTTGGGAAAGCATACAATACATGAGAGAATCAGAACCAAGGTAACCCATACCAGGTGTGGTGATGCACACACACCTGTCATCCCAGTATTCAGGAGGCTAAAGCAGGAGGATGGTAAATTCAAATCCCTATGCAACTAAAGGATACCCCATCGACACATACTATTAAAAAACTTTCCAAACCCATAGAATGTACAACACCAAAAGTAAATCTATCACTTTGTGTAATAGAAAAAGGTGTAGTTAAGTGATAAAGGCCCCCCTGAGTTTAATCCCCAGTATCAAAAAATAAAAACAAAACAAAAAAAAAAAAATCAAAAGCGACCATTAAAGAAGACCAGATAAAGACATTTTTGTTAGTCATTCCTGGATAAAGATACCAACTTCCTTGTGAGAAGAGATGAAATGTTAAGAGCAAAACAAGATTCTAGTTTCCCAAATATTCGAGGACCATTAGTATGCCATTGCTACATCTTTCCCCAGTGTATTCGTGTCATCTCCTTTACATTCCCCACCACCCTGCCCTCCCATCCCTAGGCACCATCTGGTTGCCTTAATATGCAGTTCTGGGTAGGAAATTTGGCATGCTATCCATTCAGTGTAGGAAACAGCAGAAACCATACTTTCGTTCATGCCTCCTAGCATGCAGTAGATGTTAAAGCAACTACATCAGACAATTCACACTGAGTTACTCATGAATGATTTGCACTGAGTCAACTAAACTATGAAATCCTCTATAGGTGGGTTTCTTTCATGTCAGATATCTGCCACCAGGTCCAGAACAGTTTAGTGTGTTAGTGCATAAGTGGCATTCTTTTTTGAAAAATTATATTCATATTTTTACGTTATAAAATATTATGTAACTGACACTTTAGAAAATAAAGAACTCATCCATGACTCTACCCTTCTTCTGCCATCACTGATAATGTTTTAGCAAATTTTGTGACAGATTTTCCCCATGTGTCTAGAGTTGCACTAATAACATTTCATTTTATGTCCTGATTTTTTTCTCAAGTGAATTTGAATTTTCTCAACATTTTTAATGATGAATAAGATTCCTTACAGGGGGCTGACATGATTTTCTTAAC